CACTACCAGAAGCTAATGTATTTCCATCAGGAGAGAAACAGACTGAGTAGGCAGTACTAGTATGACCATCTAATTTGGCTTTTTATTATCCTGTTTTAACATCCCATAGACGGATAGACTTATCATCACTACCAGAAGCTAATGTATTTCCATCAGGAGAGAAACAGATTAATCTAATAAAATAAGAATGGCTATCTATTATCAAGAAAAAAAAATATTTGAGTTTTTTTTGACTGAGACGAAACATATTTTGATTAACTTTTTGGATGAAAGGAAATATATATAATTAAAAAAAATAATGCTTTTTCAAAAAAGAAGGAAAATTAAGCATTAAAAAAAAAAAAAAAAAATTGATAGTTTTAAACAGAAGTTGAAGAGAAAAAAGTGGTCCGACAAAATTGAACAGTAGATTAGAGATTTTGAATATGCGATACAGAATTTTAACTAAACCCTAACAGCATTAATAGTAATAAGATTTTCAAAAAATAATGTAACAATTCCCATGATGAATTAAATAAAATTATTAGTAGTTAAGTATTATTTTATTATTGTTTCTCAATTCATCCGTAAAAGTAAGTTGATAAAATACGGAATGGGAAATATAATAATTTTAGGAGCAATATTGGTCAAGAAGACTGTTTAGCTTATCAAGTTGTAAGAGGGAATGTTTAGTCAAGTCTTTATAAACAACATAAATTAGAATTAGTGTAAATCTTTAAAGCACATCATTAAGAACCTTATAATCATATTTCTTTGATAATAAAACGATGCATAAGAGCAAAAACCAATGGGTGTGATCGATTTCTATGATTTTACAAATCTGAGGGAGAATGAATGTGGAAATGCTAAGAAGAATGAAAATTAGAAAAAATAATAATCATCATCATCATATATCACACACAAATCTATAGATAAAATCATTAGGATTAATCATAAATATTATATTTTTTGATACAGCTATTCACTGCAGCCTGGCTTTCTCCACTCCAAAATTGCCCGTTTCCGATAGCCGAGAGATAAATTGGAACAAACTTCAGAGTATATGGGTTAAGCACTATGAAGGACTGGACAGTTCCACGCGATTAGAACTATTCCTTCTCCTCTCCTTTTTTCTAAGGATATCCCTTATTGCATTATGGTTTGATACATTCTAGACCAAATCGCTCATGGCCTTGAAAGCGACTACAAAAAGATAAAAAATATTAAAAAATCAAATTGTCAATTTTGAAAATTAGATCTTCGTTAATCCTTCAGAAAATCAGTTACTCCTAAATAAATAGCAAAATATAATCGTTTTCCCCAAAAAAATGATATTTTCTGTCTAGATTAACTATTGTATTGTACTTGAGCTTAAGGCATCCAATAGATTTAATTTATCAAAATATTACTAGACAATGTACTCGAATGGACTTTGATTATGAGTAGTAAGCGAGCGAATACTTGCAAAATATAAAATCAGATCCTGCGAATAATGAGTTAATTATACTTTGTGGAAGTCTCCTCAATAAATAGGAGCACATATATTCTGTTTACAGAAAACAAAAATAGAAAAGAAATTACTAACTCCCCTTCATATACATAATATAAAAATTAAGGACTCATCATACAAATAGGGGAGGAGGAATAACAGCTGTGATTCACAAATAATTCTTTTTCAAGAAAATATCGAATCTACTGTCTAAGGTCCATGAGTTGTTAGAATGCTTTTTAATTTACAAAACAGATTACTAAATATTTACTTACCTTTAGAATAGTATTATAAAAATCAAAAAAAGGCACTAGAAAACTTTATTTAATAGCTCATGAAAGCAAATAGGAAAGAATTAAAAAGAACTTAAGAGTAAAACAGACTGTATACTTGTAAATATAAATGTGTAATTCCATCATAATGTTTTTGAGCATGCTATTCAGTTAACCTTATTTTAGTTGCAAAAATCTGACTAATAAAATCACATGTATTCATAAATCAATATCTCATATAATTTCCAAAATAAGATTAAATCCATGAAAAAAACATAAATTGAATTAAACTATTGTATAATATTAAATATTCAATATGAATTGAATCAATCCATAATTACTAAGGAGAGATTAGAGTCTTGTAATAACAGATATTATTTACAATTAAATATAACAAATGAGAGATATTTGTCGATAAAAAATCTGAGTTATAAGTTTATTCTAATTCTCTATTTTAAATATTTTATTAAATGGCTTAATTAATGTATAATTATGATTTGAACTATTGCCATTCAGCTTTGCCTATTGATTATGCAATTTGAAAAACAATTGTAAGATGCTTCTAAAAATTTGAATAAAATAATTAAATTGTGAAAATTTGTTGATTTTGAACCACCTTATAAGAAAAAATTCACTGAATATTGCTGCCTTAAACAGCATAAGTTTTCATTTAAAGACTATAAAATCATGGTAACCAAAATAATATAATGATGTTAATTGATGTTTTTAATCGTTATCAGTAATATTAAGAAGCTTCAGTCTTAATTAATTTTGAGTTGAACTAATATATCGAATGAAGAGACTAATAATGAAGTTAAAATACATAAATTTTTTTTACATTTTATTTGCATTTATTTTGATAATCGTTTTTATCATAATTATAATGAAATTTACAATTCTCTTTGTTATTTTAATTGCTTTTTCAAATGCCTAAGAAGATTCTCCAGGAACATCAGCACCAATGTAACTAGAAGTGGAACAGTTGGATAATACTAATGAACGTGAAGAAAATGCAGGCATCTTTTAGGGAAAGGAATTAAAAAAAGGAATGGGACCCATGGATCAATTCTTCCTCAAAGATCTTTTTGAAACCATCACATCGGCATTTGATGATTTTGCAGACAATCCAAATGATTCAACCTTTTTATAAAGCAATCAATAATCATAACAAATAAACGAATCAGATGAAAGTGTTATTTAATTTGAAAGCCCTGTGTTAGGCTTATTTAATCCTTTATTTTCGATATTTTCAACTGAAGGAGACTCTGATTTTGTTGAAATAGAAACTATTTCGATTAATGGATAAACTTAAACTAAGGTAACAAAAACAAGTACTAGAAATGGGATCATCACAACTACAACAGAAATAACAACAGAAACACCTATTTAAGAGTTTAACTCAGATTAGACTAATAAACTTTCTGATGACTTTTAGCTTTTTGAAAGTCCAATAACTGATGATGTTTTAAATAAATCAGAAATCATATAATAATAAGAAGAGACAGAATAAATAACTCAAGTGAATCTAGGTATAAATCAATTAAATCAATTTAATAGACAACTTGGATTCAATATAAGAATTACATTTAATATAAGATAATTACGTAAAAAATGATCAACAAGTTAACCTTCCACTATAAGAAGATAATAACCTTGCCTTAAGAATTACTATTGTATGTGGATTATCTTTAGCAGCAGTTATAGGATTTTCAATTAAGAAGTGTGCTTTTAAAACTAAATGATTGTTATTCAAAATATAAATGCATATTATTTTATGTGGAATGAATTAAGTAATTATTATTGTTACAATTAACAAATGATTTTTGAACTCTATGGGTACTTGAAGAATTTTAAGTTTCGGTATTTAAATATTCAATTTCTCATCCTAGAGCCATCCCAAATTATCTGCAATAAGTTGAATATTATCACATCTTATAACCTTTGTAATTTGAATGCTTGCGAAAGTGCAGGCCATATAGTTTCTTCTACACCCGAATGTAAAAGTTTACATATAAATAACAAACCCAACTTTATAGTTTCAAGCTATTGTGTCTTCTAGGCTATATGATGCTGATAAATTATTAAAAATTAAATGAATTGTTGGAGTTTAAGGAGGTTGCTGATTTATAATAGAATAGTGTCAGGGTGAAGAATGATCTTGTAAAAAATAAAGATGCCTTTTTCAAAAATTTAATTTATATTTATTCAATTATAATATATATAATAATTCTAAATAAAATGTCAGGGAAAACAAGGGATTACTTTGGAACATTGAAATCAGTAAATAGTGTAATTTAGTGTAGGCTGGAAGAACAGTTCTCAAGGAAGATAATGCTGGTGTCTGTATATAACCTGTTTAAGGCTAAGTAATTTTAGTCAGTTACATAGGTCCCTGAAACTCCTCCTCATATAAAGAAATATCGTAAATCCTACAAGCATCAACATGGTTGTGCAATTGTAAATAAATATAATTACATTTAGTTACACCCAGGTCTTGTAGATGCTCCAAAACCTTAAGGTAATTGGCTTTATGGAAAAAAAACTGATCCATCTGATAAAGCAGGAGATCTATTTAAATAATAGCCAGAAGGAATTAAGGAATTGGTCAATGAAATAAATGAATAAAAATACGCCTCTCATATTAAAGAGCCTTTAGGTACAATGCCCACAAGAAATTATAATTGGCCTGAAGAATCTAAATCAGACGGGTTTGCTTTTGGTTAGAAGATACCTCCTTCTGAATTTACAGCAAAAGAAGTTGTTTTTCCTCCTGATGCCCAAAGAGATGATGAAAGTGTAAGAATGATGTATTTGAAAAGTCATGGAAATTTTGAAGCAGGAGAATAAAAAAATAGAGAATATAAGTGGAATGTCAATCCATCTGAATTTCGATTTGGCAAAAAAGATGAAAGAGAATAAGAATAGATGAAAAAAATTTTGCAACATGAATTAACACAAAATTAATATCCTAAAACAACTATTATCTCAAAAAACTAAGAAGATTGGAAGAATTATAACGAAGATCCTCTTGGTAAACCAAAAAATCTGGCTTAAATTAATTCTAGAATGCCAGCAATTTTTGGAGAAACAAAAAAAGATGAATAATGGACAGCTGGATAATGTATTAATGGTTAGCCCACATAAAAAGAAGTTTAACCAGATATAGATTTGGGAAAAGCCACAAAATTTGGTTTTAGAAATTAAACAAAACAAGGAGATGAAACTAGAGCATTTGGAGTTCCGACAATTAGAAATGATATTATTAAAACGGGAATGAAATCTGTTGCAGATCCTTAAAATTATGGTGATGAAGTTCCAGCTGTAGCATTATTGTTCCCAGAAAAATTTTCATATATGGGACTGACTGAATAGGATTTCTTAATGTTAAGAAATAAAAAAGATATAAAATAAATATTTGAATCTATAGGAATTAAGTATGGAATAGGCAAATTTGAAGGTGTTTTTAACAAAGCAAAAGAAATCGTATATTATTAATTTTATAATGATAGCAAAATACTTTTGACGATAAAGTATCGGTTAAAGCCTTTTAATTGGCTGTTTAAGAAATGCATCATATTGATTGATTTAATAATATCATCTATCTAATGTTGTAAAATTGTTTTCATTTTAATTATTTGAATGTATTTTTAAAAATAATTTTTACTCAAAGTTGTCAATTATTAAAATTTTTTCTCTTTAATAGAAAATAGGTTGAAAAAAGAAGATTTCAAAGTAAATTATTGTGTCCTTTATGAGAAGCTTACAAAATTTAATGAATGAAAATTTCTCTCATCATTCTCTTTTTAATAACAATGAGACAATTTAAAAAGATTATAATATTTAATTGAGATCAAATTTTTTTAGTGATTAAAACCTCATTCATATCCAACTTAAAAACTGTAGAGAAAAATAAATTAAACAACTTTTCCTTTATGTATTGATATATCATGTATAATAAGCTATGTGTTCGTAATCATTCAATTTTATTTCATTAATTGCCTTTTTAATATGAAACCCTACATAACTCAATATTAAGTTAATATAAATAATTTTCATTAAATCTTCATTATTATATTTTGATTAAGATAATTCAAAATAAAACAGAATAGTCTCTAAAAAATAAACTAATTAAAATTAATTGTATATTTTTAAATTGAATAATGGTTTTCTTTTAACAATAATTTATTAGAAATAAAGGATTTTTCCTGATTTCAAAATTTTATTAGTAAACAATTACTTATTAATATATTTAGTGTACATTAAATTTTAGATAGTTTGATTGCTCTCTTTCTAAATACAAAAAGTATTTAATTTATGAAAACTAGTGAATTTTGTATGGTCAGAATTAATGAGTGAATAAAACATAAGTTATATTGATAGAAAGTTTTGTATACTAAATTCAATATAATATATTTATTCATTAAATATTTTGATTTAGCTCCTCCTCTGACATAGATTCGGAACTATGATCTTTAAAAGAGGCAAATAATTTTCGGAAATATTATTTACTTCTGATTTATGGTGGTATTTCTTTGATTGGCTTAGATAATTTACTACTTTTTTTTCTTTTTATTATTTGAACATTAAATGGATTGAATTTTTGGTGATGTGATCTGTTGTTGTTATAGGTTGACGAAAATTATACCTGCATTAACTTGGACTTCTTGTGGCAATTACTTAACTCATTTTTTTGAATAATCTTTATCCTTTGTTATTTTAAGATGATTCAATCAAATCTTAGGACTGATAAAGAAAATCAAGATAGAGTTTGTGTTCTGCTTGTGTCCAATGGCCTGATCTTGGATTATTACTTTAAGATAGCTCTTGTGTTGAACAAATAGGTATTGCTGGTACTTAGAATAAGAAGATCAACGTACCTGTTACATCAGATTTCATTTGATATTTTAAATCTTGAATTAAAAAATTAATATACCAATGTTTATATACAAAGATGTACTTTCAAAAAACTTGAATTTATCAATTTGAATTATGATACAGGAATGTATTGCTTTATATTTTTTGAAAGAATAAATGATAAATGCTAAAAAGTACTGGATTTTTAATTTGGTTAATTATGAATTGAGTATTATCGCAAATTTATTATTAATCAGAATTATTTGTTGCTATAAAAACTATAGGTAATATCTATAGAATGGATGATTTAAAATTATTCCTTTTTATTGTTGCAATTTTTTAATTGTATTTAATTAATCTAATCTTAAATCAAATCATTATTTAATTCATTTATTTACGCTTTATTTGATTCTATATGTCTAAATCCTTAATTATCTATTCATTATAAAAACTTTACTTTTTTCTCAATTTTGATGGAGCTTTATTATCTCATATGATTTGAAAATTTATTAGTTTTAATATAAAATGTTTTTTATTGTATTCTAAATATTCTTCCAATTTCTAGGAATGTTTATGTTTTAACTTTTTTGCTCAAGAATGCAACCGAGCTCAATATTTTTATTAATAAGCTTACTTCACAATAGTAGTGTGTTTTATAAATAAGCGAAAAATAAATTAAGGCTTTGTTANTATTTAATTTATGAAAACTAGTGAATTTTGTATGGTCAGAATTAATGAGTGAATAAAACATAAGTTATATTGATAGAAAGTTTTGTATACTAAATTCAATATAATATATTTATTCATTAAATATTTTGATTTAGCTCCTCCTCTGACATAGATTCGGAACTATGATCTTTAAAAGAGGCAAATAATTTTCGGAAATATTATTTACTTCTGATTTATGGTGGTATTTCTTTGATTGGCTTAGATAATTTACTACTTTTTTTTCTTTTTATTATTTGAACATTAAATGGATTGAATTTTTGGTGATGTGATCTGTTGTTGTTATAGGTTGACGAAAATTATACCTGCATTAACTTGGACTTCTTGTGGCAATTACTTAACTCATTTTTTTGAATAATCTTTATCCTTTGTTATTTTAAGATGATTCAATCAAATCTTAGGACTGATAAAGAAAATCAAGATAGAGTTTGTGTTCTGCTTGTGTCCAATGGCCTGATCTTGGATTATTACTTTAAGATAGCTCTTGTGTTGAACAAATAGGTATTGCTGGTACTTAGAATAAGAAGATCAACGTACCTGTTACATCAGATTTCATTTGATATTTTAAATCTTGAATTAAAAAATTAATATACCAATGTTTATATACAAAGATGTACTTTCAAAAAACTTGAATTTATCAATTTGAATTATGATACAGGAATGTATTGCTTTATATTTTTTGAAAGAATAAATGATAAATGCTAAAAAGTACTGGATTTTTAATTTGGTTAATTATGAATTGAGTATTATCGCAAATTTATTATTAATCAGAATTATTTGTTGCTATAAAAACTATAGGTAATATCTATAGAATGGATGATTTAAAATTATTCCTTTTTATTGTTGCAATTTTTTAATTGTATTTAATTAATCTAATCTTAAATCAAATCATTATTTAATTCATTTATTTACGCTTTATTTGATTCTATATGTCTAAATCCTTAATTATCTATTCATTATAAAAACTTTACTTTTTTCTCAATTTTGATGGAGCTTTATTATCTCATATGATTTGAAAATTTATTAGTTTTAATATAAAATGTTTTTTATTGTATTCTAAATATTCTTCCAATTTCTAGGAATGTTTATGTTTTAACTTTTTTGCTCAAGAATGCAACCGAGCTCAATATTTTTATTAATAAGCTTACTTCACAATAGTAGTGTGTTTTATAAATAAGCGAAAAATAAATTAAGGCTTTGTTATTTTAATGCTGAACACTGTAAATTTAATCAATTAATTTCATTTTTCTAGAGAGTTACTATATAATTTACAAACACAGAGTTTCTTGAAAAATCTATTTTTAATTGGCTATACAATACCATTAAATAAATTCGTTATATGCTTTCCATCCTATTCTTCATATTACAGCATATCTTAAATTAGAATTTTTATTCTTTAAATTCTCTATTTGATCCAAAAATATATTTTTCTTATTTCTTATTCGCCATGAATTAATTATTATTTTTAATATTACATTTAATCTAACGATCTCAGTCGTTAAAACTAAAGTATATTAAAGAAGGGTTAAGTCTGGGGGAAAAATATATGATTTTCTCATTCGTGTTTTCTTTTTTCAATTTATCTTGGCTATTCAAATCAGGTTACAAATATATTCCAAAAGATTGATTAAAAAATAAAAGTCATTGAAACTCTAAAATGATTTTTTGTGTTAAATTATTAATTTTCTTATAATTTAATGGTATTTAGCTTGATTTTTCTTAAAAAATCAATAGCATTTAAATACTTATGAAGAATTTAATTCTATTCAGATAAATGCCTGAGCATTCCTGATAGCTTTCTTATATAAATTTCTTTTTATTGTAATAATGTCATAATATGTATTGGTTTTTAAATTGTCATAACATATAAAATGATTGTAAGGTTTTAAGAATTTTCTAGATAATTTAAAATGCGCCTCTAATGTACTAACAGGAAATTTGAGACTAATTGCAAAAGTTTTCTAAATTAACTTTACAAACTTCAATCCTCTTATCCATAAAATTGGAAGAATAATTTTTTTTGAATTAATTCTTGCCAAACATAAAATTTACAAAACTTTTTGATAAATGTTAAAGAAATGATTAATTTCAAATTCATTTAAAACTTTGTTAAACATCTATTAATTTATAACTTCAATTTGTTATGTTGCATAGTTTTTCCATTTTTCCAAATGCAGAGTTTTACTTTTGAATCGCAATCTTTTCAATTAAGCAAATGCTCCCTATTCTAAATCAATAAATTTTAAAAATCAAAATCACTAATAGATTCTTCTTACCTTGGCTAACAAATTTATTAAATAATTTGCATAAAATTAGCTGCCACTCTTGTTTATAAATACATTTTGTTTTTAGCAAAGTAATTATAACATTTAGTCTTATATGTAAATTATACAATTTTAAATGTATATAGTTTTTTTATTTATCATTATATTAAATTGATTTTTTTTTTGCGAATAAAATTAACAATAAAATAAAAAATACTAATTAAAATTTATTATGCTCTCTTCATCAAGTTTGACTCTAACTACTTAAGCCAAATTAGCCTTAGTAATTCAAGCCATTGCACAAAATGAATAGTTAAGCGAAAAAAAGAAACAAAGATTAGCATAAATACAAATGTTCAACCCTGAAGTTGGTATATAATTAAGTGAAGCTTAGCATTCCTAAGAATAGATCAAAGGAGAATCGGACAGCTAGGTCATTCGGATATCCTAGAATTCCTATAAGATAACAAGATTTCACATTCTTAGTTTGAAGCAGCTTATTTATATAAGAAATTGGATTGGGATAAAGACGGAAGGATCAAGTTAGCAGAGTAACATAATATTCTAATTATAGTTTCTGTTAATATATTTTGACAAAAAGAAATACTGCTTTAAGAGAAATAGTAAAATCTAGATAACTATACCCTATAGATATTGGAATGCTCTTACCAACTGAAGTAGAATTAGCACTTTCAGATGTATTCGCTTAAGAGATTGAAAATTATAGAGTGATAAATGCTGCAAGATAATCCTTAGTTAATTCTTTGGACTATTCAACATTGGAAGCTTTTAAGACCTTGGATTTGTTTAACTAAGGATACTTAACAAAAGAAACACTTTCATTATTTATGCAAAGATAAAATGCTCCTTTATTGAATGATGAAGTGATCTCATTTTTTGATGCTGTTGATCTTGATTAGGATGGCAAAATCTCATATAGTGAACTGGTTGAAGCAGTTCATTTGATGGAACCTCTCCCTTATAGATCAAATATTATACGTGATAATGATTTTGTTAAAGCTGTTGAAAATAACAGATCTTTGGAGAGATTATCCTTCTCTTCTTATCCTTATTATTTCTATCCCTATTATCCATATTATTATCCTTACTATTATCCAAATTTACGATTAGAAAGTGTGAGACAAAGAGAAGACTCTCTTGAAAGATTAAGAAGATCTAAACTTTAACAAATTTAGAGTGAAAACAGAATAATTCAATTAGAAAATTAAACAAGGCTAAGCTAAGAGAGACAAAGAAGTGCAGAGCGAATTAGATAGATCTAAGAGGAAAGTTTGTTAAGATAAACACAAATAGAAGAGTAAAACAGGATTAGAGAGCTTGATAGATTAAGAGATGAAGATTTAAGAAGAAGCAGAGAAAGAATAAGGATGGTTGAGAATGAGGCAATATTAAGGAAACTTGAAATAGAAGAGAGAGCTAGAGAAATCGAAAGAGAAAATAGATTAATAGCTTTAGAAAAAGAATAAAGAATTAGATAAGTTGAATTAGAAAGAGAATTAGTTGAGAGCTAAGTCAAATTAAGGAATTTGGAAAGAAACAACAGCTTAGAAAGATTAAGATAATTGGAAGCAAGAAGATAAGGAGAAATTGATCAATTACGCACAAGCAATACTTTAGCCTATACTCCATATTATTCTACATATACATCTCATGTACCCTAATATGAAAGAGCTTTGTAGAAATACCCATATACCTTAATCGATTCTATTAATGCATTCAAGTAAGAATGTAAATTAAACATTAGCACAATCAAAAGATACTCTCCAACTAAAACTAATTCCCTTGTTCAATCAACTATCTACTAAAGCCCAAGTAAAATAAAAAAACAAGAATTTAAAATAAAATGATTTAACAATATTAGCTAATTTTTTCGATAAAATAGTTTTAAATAATATAAGATACTGAAGAATAATATCATAAAATCTACTCCTAATCACTATTCACTTTTTTGCCTTTTTTCCTTACCTTCACTCCATTAACTTCCACATTGTTATCCATTTTTATCCATAAAAATTCCTTTACCATGTTATTTTCCTTCCCGAAACTACCCTATATATTTTGATCCATCAGCCCATCTAAATTCTCCTTCCCCATGTTTAAGATCATTGTAATATTAACCTTCATATTCTCTGCCATCAGGCCATATAAAATGTCCTTTGCCATGCATTTTCCCATCTTTGAAATGTCCTTTATAACGTTTTCCATCTGCGAAAATCAATTCACCAAAACCTGAAATTTAATCATTCTCAAATTATCCAGTATATATATCCCCATTAGGAAATTTGGCGATACCCTTACCCTATTTCTTTCCTTCCTTAAATATCCCTTCAAATTAGCTTCCATCATTTAAAATCTCTTTACCTTAGCCATGCTACTCTAAAAAATATAAAAACCTTTTAATCTTGTAACCATTCTCCTTAATATTAGGAACCATCAAATTCATAAAATATCCCATAACCATTTGCAGAATTATTTTTCCATTATCCATCATAGGCGTTACCATTTGAGTGAATAATTCTGCCTCTTCCATTAGCTTAATCAAATTTCCAATATCCTTCATAAATTGACCCATCAGCAAAATACTATTTTCCTCTTCCATGCCTCAATCTCTATAACCATTAACCTACATAAATATTTCCAGAGTTTTTTTTATGTTCCTAAATTGATATTATCATTTTATACATGAGGCATAAAAAATCTGCATTCATTAAATTCTTAGGGCAACTTTTTATCAAATTTAAACTTACCCAACTTATTATATGATATCTAAACATTCTATTCCAAAGATTTTGGCTCTTTACTTAAGACCCAAAAATCTCCAGGTTTTTCTTTTTCAGCCTCTTCTTTCATCTGAGCTGCAACTTTCTTTGCTTTTTTCTTTCTTATTGATTTTTGGATTGTTATAATTTCTTCCTCATGCTCTTCAAAATTTATTTATTATGGAACTAATGTAGGAATCTTTTCTGGTTCAAATTATCTGAACTCAACATTTTAAATAAATCCTCCCGGTTATTGTGAGCAACAAATTCCCATTTATGATTTATTTTATGTTGTAATTGTTATTAAATTTTATCAATTATACTTTGTTATATAATTATAATTTAATGCCAAATCTCTTTATTGTTTCACAAATCTCTTCATAATCATTTAATAAAATAAATGAAAGCATTTAATATAAAATCATATATATACTCAAAATCATATAATGATATTTTATTTTAAAGCATTTTTTCTTTAAGTAAAATGGCCAGCCTTTAAAAAAGAAGCTAATTAATTTGAGATGAAACGATCCGATTATGGACTAGTAGAGTGTGTTTTACCTGTTGATGTTGGAGAATCTCCATGGATTGGAGGCAATTTAATTATATTTAATGTCTGTTCTAATTTTTCCCTTTGCGATAACCTTGGTTCATATTTGCTTGTTCTTCTCACTAAACTTTTTAAATTTTAAGAAATTTGTATTTTAGAGTTCCTAGGTTTTAAAGGCACTTTGAAAACTTCGAATTCCAAAATATTTTCACAAGTTAGAGAATCAATTTCTTTTTTATACTTATCTGTAAAAATCATTTCGAAAAACCTCTATAATGTAGGTGATAATTCCATATACTCAATATAACTGATATTTTTAAAGTTTTTCATCAGTAATTCATCAACCAACTAATTTTCTTAATAAAACTTTTTAGTAAAAATACTCAATATAATAATACTTAAGGAATATATGTCTTTTTTCATATAAAATTTTTAGGCACTTTCTTCTTGAGGAGTCAAATTAATTATACTCCTTCTTTTTTAAGGAAATTAAACTGCTTTTCCAAAATTAATTAAGCAAGTTGATTGTAGATCCATAGAATCCCGAAGTAAAATATTATCAAATCGAATATCTGTATGATAAATATTTAATTTATGTAAGTAATTTAACGAATTGAAAAGGGACTACATGATTTTTATCATCTCTTAATCAGAAAGATTCTAATTAAATATATATTTTTTAATTGGGCCTCCTTCCAATAATTCTGTAACTATATATATATTTTTTTCTCCTTCAAAAATTTCTTATAATTTTAATAATCCTTTATGATTTACTTATCTCAAAATATTAATTTCATTCATAAAAAACTCCTTTTCATAACTGCTACTTTTAGTTAGATTTGACTTTTCATAGATTTTAACTGCGCATTCTTAACCACTAATAGTATGCTAAACTTTATAAACCTAATTTTATTAAAAATACTTACTGAAGACAAATATCCATTTCCTATCTTTGAAAGTATTTAATACTTTGATTAAAAATCAGATTGTATCATATAAATCTTAATTTTATTCAAGAATTCTAAATGTATTCCAAAAAATTCTACATGCTATCCATTTTTGCAGATTCGAAAACCAAATTATTTGCTTTTTTAATTTATTACACCTCTCAAATAAGAATTTTCAATATTGATATATCTATCTTATTTCTAAATTTAACTCTACAAATACTTTATCACAAATTTTTAGAATGGTTTCTGCCAAATAAATTGTTACTAAAGTTTCCTTTTTTTAATATGTCATTTAAAAAATCCCTTGATCAAGAAATTGAAGATTATTGTCGATTGCTGTGGTAAACAATTAATTTCCATCATTAAAAAATGCCATTTTTGAGTTATCAACCAAGGAGCTAGTACTTTTTTTCATTAAAAAAAATAAATCAATTGTTTTTCATTTTCATTAAAAATAAGCTCGTTTGGAAGTCATTTAATTTTAAGTATTACAAATAATAAAAAATATATTATGAAAGAGCTAAAATAATTTTGAAAGTTTTTTAAGTTATATTGTCGTAGCTTATAAAGATTAATACTTTTTATAATTTATTACTAAATAAATACTGGAATATCTAATAAAATATTAGAATTAAATGATGATATTTATTTATAGATAATTTCTTTTCTAGAATTCAACAAAATCTAGAAATCCTAAAAAGAAATGAAAATCTATTTTTTTAATAAGATTACTAATATTTAACTAATAAATTAGACATTTAATTTAATATAATTTCTATCATCTATTCATTTATTTTAAACTTCCTAAAAACAACACTTTTTAATTATACTAATACTTACAATTTATTTCCAGCAACAACTCGATATTGATTAGTTTTAATGAATATAAATTAGTAAGAATATTGTTGAAAGATTATGTTTATGAATTAGTAGAAAAAAAATTTAATATATATATGAAAATTGAAAAGATTAAATTTTGAAAAGAATTAATCTTTTAGATTAAATTTCTTTTAGGAATAATTTGTAAATGAAAATATCTAATACTATGGTTCAATTTAATTATAATTTATTAGAAAAATGGCTAATAATTTTTAAAGGCTTTTAACTAGAGGACATTGATTTTGCTTTCAATTTTTGGGTCTAGTAAAACTTAAACATATTTAATGATGTTATATACATTAATTAGTGATTTGTTTCACCAGGATTGGTTAATTTTGAAGATTTTAATTACTATTTAATTTAGGTATCGATAATTCAGAGGAAGATATATCCTAGAATGGTTACGAGATAATAGTTTAATCAAAAGCATATCCATTAAAAGGATCTAGGATAGTTTGTCTTCTTATAATTATGCCATTTATTAAATTGTTAAACTGTCTCAAATTAGTAAATTTAGTATCAAAATTATCTTGATTACTCTAAACTTAATCTTACATTAATATATTATGGGGATGTAGCCATTAAATTTAATAAAGCAGTCCAACCAATATCTCTTAACTAACCAATGTTAAGATTGGAGTTCCTCAGAACGATTAACTCCTAAATAATCACTTGCTATCTTAAAAAAACTGTTAATAAAATCAGCAAATTCTTCTGACCATCCATCACGAATTTGATGTAATTTGATTCAGATATTAGCTAGGAGGAGAACCACTGGTATCATTTTGATTGTCAGATTACTAGATTCTGGCCATCCCAATATCTGTAAGTCGAAGATAACTAAATTAGATTTTTTAATAAGTTGTTGTTATCAAATACCATAATCTCAGGTTTAATATCTTTATGTAAGACTGTATTAGTTTGTAGATAATCTAATACCATTAATAGAAAAATTAGAAAGTAATCTTAAAATAGATACTAAATTTATACTTGTCTTTTATCAAAAGAATGTTTTTTGTTTATATAGGTGGTATCTTAGGTAGAATAAGATTTTAAGTACTTGCATTCACTCATTTCTTCGATTGCATCTAATTATTTTGTTTTTTATTCTCAGCTTTCACTACTCTTCCAAATTCTTTTCTAGCCTTGCAAAATGCAGACAATAATTAGATTAGAAGGCACTGTATCTACTGAAATTTATGGTTACATGACACATCATCAAAATTTATTGCTTTGATGTTTTAACAAATTTCCATGTGAAAATTAAATTTATATTAAAATAATACAATAGAATCAAGGTGACTGTAGTGACGATAGCTCTGGATCCTCTTCTTTAATTACATTAGCTTATTGTTCTGGATTGATATTGACTAAGTATTAAGCAAAGGTCTTAGGAGATATATCCTTCAAAGCCTCTTATTTAAGTTGCTCCAAAGTAAAGCTTTACTAACGAACCTTTTCGAAGTTTTTAGCCATATCAAACATGTAACTAATATAATTAGGATTATATTCATACAATTCTAAACGCTTTGTTTCTTCAATAAATTTTCTTTAAGTTTCCTTAAGTGTGTTTTTTGGATTAGCCTTAAAATTAGGGTCTTACTCATTAAAAAAGTCTTATCCTAATTTATTCAACATATAATAATACCCTTCATTGCAGACTCCATGATTTTTTTTAAATCATTTGGAATAGCATGGTCCATCAAAGTGTTGAAGAAGGAATTACACAATTCTATCCTTCTTATTGACTGAACTCCAAATTCTTAGTCTAAAATTCTTAGTTAGGATTAACAAGGAGAATGTTTTAGATTTAGGAGCTAGTTTTAGTAATTCATATGGAATTCTTTGATCTATAATAAAGTGATTATAATTAAAAAATACCATAGATGGGATTTTAGCACAATAATTAATATAATTGTTTTAGTTTGCAATAGTTGCTTGAAGTCTCAACATCTCCTATGTCAATTCTTCTACCTTATTTTCAAGAAGTTCAATGTATATCTTCTTTCTTTTTCTTGAATCTCTTGCCGATTGTCTATTTCGAGCCAATTTTAATTAGTGTGTATTTGCCCCATAAGGCTCCTCAGAGGAATCACCTGCTTACTTCATTTTTCTTTTCCATTTATCTCCATTTCGCTTTGTGCTAACAAAATAAATTTATGTCATTACTGTTTTGGAGTGATTTCAGTATCAATTAATTGAGTTATTTTGCTAAGATAGATGCTTTTAGACTAGTTGACATTGAATAGCTCCTTGTTCTAACATATGATTTCTTCTTCTTTTTTGATTTTCTTTTAAGGAAAAACCGTATTTAGATATTCAAAAGTTGGAAGAAAAGGATTTTATTCTTCAAAACCAAATAACCATTTCTCATGAAATGCTTCTTATTCAGGTAAATTTTAAGGAGTCATGCCATAAATTGAATTTTAAGGGGGGAGAGTTAGCATTTAAGTGTTTTAAATTAATATTTATGACGCTATTGAATTACTCCATGACGAGATTTAAGAGAAGAATTTGTTGAAATACAAAATAACACTCAGAAATTCAAATAAAACTTAAAATCTTGCTGACTACTACTATCTTAGAGGTTCTATAATGCTGAGAAAGTTGCACCCTTAAAACATTGTATTACGTCAGAACTAATATTCTTCTAATTATTATAATATAAAAGAAATAAAATTGTATAAATTGCGTAATTTGTCTCTAAAATGTTTACTATAAATAAAGTATTAAGAATATAATCCATTAAATAACCATAATTTTCCTATTCGAAGCAAAACTACTCTTCATTTTGAAATATATTAATATTTTTATATTACTTTTTTAGAATAAGGTATTATCAATTTTATTAATACAATTTTGGATTTAAATAACTCTATTAATTTTTGTTTTAGTTAGAATAAATATAAGTAATATTTGAAGTTCCTAAGAGTGCAATATAAGAAAGTAAATGTTTTATTTTTCAAATTTTTTTTTTATTATCATCATTTTAATAAATTTTCTAAAATTCTTAGTTCACTATATATTGAGAAACCAAAAAATATGTCAAGTTTTGATATTTTCATCAGTTTAAGTTTTAGAATTCTAAAAATACAAAATGCTAAAAGTAAAAGTGTTTTGGCTAATAATTCAGAACATTATAGAAATAATTAAAAAATGTTCATTATTTAGGCTTATTGATTTGTATAATATAATTTTTTGGCTTCTACTATTTTAAATAATCCATAAACTATTCATTATTTTTTTTAATTGAAAAATTTAATTATTATCTTTTACATTTCTTTCTTAATTTTATTATGAAGACTATTTAAAAATTTAGACCTTTTAAATTATTTTAAAAGCTGCTAATGAGTTTTTATAGTTCTCACAGATACAATTTATGATTAAATATTGCCTAAATTTTTTAACCTATATACACTATTTTTAATAAAGTTTATTTACATCATTTTTAGAAAGGATAATACTTTTTGCATCCCATAATTCCACTAGTTTTAAAATTAATTTAAAAGTATAAGATAAGATATTTTGTATTATTGAGAAAAATGATAAAATCTTTAAATAATAATCAATTCCTTTATGATAACTTTATTTATATCTCTATATTTTATATTTTATAAAGGCCAAAAGCAATTAATTTTAATTTTTGGTTCATTTTGCAAAACAGTTATAAAATTTAGTTTAAAAAAAATAAATGATTCATAAATCAAATATCAGCCAAATATAGAGGGCAAATAACTTATAATTATATTACATTTATTTTATAGTTAACAAACATAATTTGTGTCATTTAAGAATATTAAAAATCGATACCATTATTTTGTTTTTTATTAGCCAATATTAAATAAGAAATTATTTTCTTAATATCACTGTTGAGTGTTTTTCAATTTTTTATAATGAACCTTAAAACTTTAAGTAAAAAAGAAGATTAAATAAATTCTTTCTAAAAGAAGATTTTTAATTCTTTCAAATTATCGAATATAAAAAGTTAGATGAGAAATCTGATTTATAAATCAATTTAAATTACTTAAAAATTATAGAAGCTATTCGAGAAATATGTTAAAAAGAAAATAAAAAAATGCAATTAAAGAATATGATATTGAATAGCTGATATCTAAATATTGGTGAATAGGAAATCGAAGTTTTAATAATATATACAAGATTTTTATATTATAAAATTGAATTAATTACTTAAAAAGTTCTCATTAATTAAATGATTGGATTATTTAGGTTATTTAAAAAGATTTATAAAATTAAGTAAAATAGTTTTAAATTAATATATATATACATAGTTTTAAATAAATATTAAATCAAATAATTAATTCTAAACCGCAAAGTGAATTTAGATTTGGATGAATGAATTGCATTAAATAATTAACTGTTTATTCTCGAGTACAAAAATATCCATCTGAACAAAATTTTGTTTAGATTTACTATCTATTATAAAATACCATAACTATTTCATTTTTAACAATTATTTCTAGTTATGATGCAAATGGAATGATTGGTTAAAAGTCTGAAATGGCAGATAAAATTGCCACTTAATTTGTATCATGTCCTGAATACCAACTAAGAGGAGTAGTAGAATATAATTATGATATAATCCATTTGAATGGTTCAGTTAATTATGCATAATGTTCCAATGAATCACAATTATCTTCATAATATCTAAGAAATTTCACTACTTCTTGCATATAATCAATTGCTTTTTATGATGGATTTGGGAATAGAAATCCTTAGACATGATTACTTTAATAATCATCAAATATATCTTCAATATCAGATAAAGTAATGGATTTCTTTTTAAAGATTTTACTTGGATAAGCAGCCTTAATGATATCAAAAACTTCATCAAATTCAGGTCTATTTTTAAATTCTTCTTCTTTTGATTTAAAATATTCACTAGATTCAATTTTTTTTTTCAAATCTTTTATGGCAGGACAAACTGTTTTTTTATGTCCATGAAACATAAAATCATTAGGTCTTTCAAAATAATGAAGTTCTAATTCTAATGGATTCTAGAAATCAGAATTCATAATCTAGTTCCATGCTTCAATATTTGTAGAATATTAAGCATAATATTCATTGAAGTATCTTTTGATTATCTCTTAATAATTATTTGGACATAACCCTTTTAGGAATCCAATAGTAGACATTATAACTCTTTAGGTTGTAGATGCTTAAATTTCTAAATTTTCATAAATGCAATTTCCGTTCATATCTGTAATAGATATTCCATTTTTACTCTATCCTAAATTAATATGTTATTATAATCCTATTTCAGTTAAATCTTCTGGTTAACTTGTCCAATAATAAGTACTATCAATCTCAGTATATACTTTTGGGGATCTAGCACCATGTCTAGTTATCAATATTGACTTCTATAAGCAGGAAACAATAGTTAATAGGATGAAAATTGTGAATATGCTTGAAATACTCATGATTATATAATTAATTATCTTAGATTTTATACTTATCTTTATAAATGATGAAATAGACATAGTAAATTTATGTATTATTAAAATGTCATATGACGTTATAAAAATAATTAACTTTAATATAATAATATGTATAAAATATGTATTAAATATAAATTCTAAACTTATATCTAAATTTCTTATGTTTATTATACCAAAAAATCACAAAACCAAATCTAACTAAATAAAAATGTTAAGCAAATAATTTATTAAGAGATTAGCTATTATTTATATTTATAATAATCAATTCTTTAAGTAAACATCCGTCATGTTTGGTTCATGATTAAAAAATAATTGTTTGGAAGATAATGTTAATTTGA